AAAAAAAAAAATGCCTTATATATTGTGCAAATGGACATATGCATTTAATAAAAAAAAATAATAATAATAATAATAATAATTTAGGTTAAAAAAACATATCAACCATCAATTTGGGTCAAAACGACAAATTATTCTATCATTTAAATGTTGAAAGATTTAAAACAATCAATTTAAAATTTTAGTATTTATCATTATAAGGGAAGAAAAATAAATCAACTTTCAATTCAAGATTTGAATAAAAATCTATCGGGATCAGCAAATATGAAATTATCAATTCAAAATTCTAAAGATTAACGGTACCGTACTATCTCGTCGGGTGTTTCAATCGTTGAATCCACATGAAGTTAGATAAGATGGATGATCCAGCGGTTAAAACACCCGACAGGATGATACCGAGAACATCCTACTCTTCTTAATAAGTGATGTCATCACCTGAAGTTAATAAAAGTACCTCAATATATATAAACATTAACTAAAAAATACGTTGGAAAACATCATTAAATTTTTGCTCCATATCTCATGTTTGTTTCCATGCGTGACTGGACTACTGGAGAAGAAATTTACCTTATTTTTTTCATTTCTTTTTTATTTTTTATTTATATTAGAATGATTATTATATCCAAACTTATAGATTTTAATAATATTGGCATACAAAAATTTACTGGTGTTTTTCATCATTTTTCATTTTTTATTTATATATATTAACAGGTTTTCATTTATATTCTTAAAGATGGTAGTTGACTATCTCTTGATTCTTGTTAGAACACGGGAAGCTGGTACGGTCACACGCAGGTGAAGCGCACCGTAAGAGGGTGAGCCTGAGTGCACCTTAGTGAGTTTTCATTTCAAAATCAATTGGTGATAATAAGAGTAGTCTACTAGTCTTATATAATAGGTTCATTTTTCCCGCAGAATATATATATATATATGGGATAACTCACAATTATATTTAGGTCCAAAATTGATACTTAATTCATTTTATGGTACCTGACATATATTTTTTTATAAATAAAGTTTACTTTTATTATTATTATTATTATTATTATTATTATTATTATTATTATTATTATTATGAGAAGGAAAAAAAAAAAAGACATTTGCAGCACATGCTTGGTCAAAAAAGATAAAAATATAGGGTCAAATATGTAATCGTGTCGATAAATAATTTTCAACAAATATATTTTCCCTCTGACTAATTAGCGCTCTGTGCGCTAAAGACTTGTAAAATAGGAATGCATGGGTTGACAAAACCGTATTATTATTAAATGTAAGAAATTGGGAGAAAAAATGAGTGCGTCCCACTAACATGCATTCGTGAAAAGAGGAGTAACTCATTAGACTTATAAAGTGGGTCTATTTTTCAGGTATGAACGATGTGGGACAACTCACAAGTGATATTCTAACACCCCCTCACTTGTGAGTTCTTCGGAAGTCCAATCCCCTCACTTGTGAGTCCTTCGGAAGTCCAATCCCAACTAGGTTGGGTGCCCCAAGCCTACTAGAAGAAGGCTCACATAAACGGGTACGTGGGAAAGCAGACTCTCATAAACGGGTACGTCATCGCACGGTCCCAATAGAACCAGCTCCGATACCATATAAGAAACTGAGAAAAAAACGGGTGAGGTACACTAACATGAAGCCCAAGTGGGGTTTCATCCCAAAACCAAATGGTGGAAGGAGGAGTAACCCATTAGACTTATAAGGTGGGTCTATTTTTCATGTATGAACAATGTGGGACAATTCACAAGTGATATTCTAACAATAAAAAACCGTATTATTATTATTATTATTATTATTATTATTATTATTATTATTATTATTATTATTATTATTATTATTATTATTATTAGTTTCAAGATTATTCTCGCATAAAACAATACAGTATATGTACCATTCCACGTGAAATTGACCAAATTCACTTTTAATACACTCTCTCTTTTTCAATTCAAACCGTGATTACTCTCATTTTATTTTATACTTTTTAATACCTACCTTAGGAGACATTTCATTTTATGTTTCCACAGAGAAATGATAATTTTAATTATTTCAGTACCATATTTTTAAAAAAATATATCACGGCAAAAATTCAATTTTAGTCCTTTAAATTGGTCATTGTCCAGTTTTGGTACACCAATGTTTCCCCTTTCAAAAATAATTCACTATGTTACAATTTCGTCAATTTTAGTACATTAATCCCGAGGAGTCGGATTACGTGATGACGTGGACAAGAATGGAAACGACGTGGATGAATAGGACTTTGACATTGAAGAACTATAATTTTCCACGTCATCACGTAATCCGGCCCTCGAAATTATTGTACTGAAATTGACGAAAATTATAACATAGTGGATTTTTTTTTATTAGGAAAATTTAGTGTACCAATACTGGACAATGGTCAACTTAGAGGACCAAAATTAGATTTTTGCCAATAAATCATGATAAGTTATTTTCATATATATATTTTGAGTAATAAGCAGATTGATGTTAATTAACTGATTTTTATCTTATTATTTTTTATTAGAATAGGATATCATTAAAATATAGTTGATAATTAGAAAAACGTATGTTAAAATATAGAGAAATGAAGTTAATAGTAATTATTTAATTAATGAGCCAATAGATATATAGTAATTACCTTGATATTTCCAGCTTGTTTAATAGCATCAACGAGCTTAAGCTGCAACATGAGATTATGGCTCCTAAAATGAACCCCCGACATGGCACAAACCACCACGTCGACCTGCTTGACGGCCTCCACCAGGCTCCGGTGGTCGGAAAACGAGCCCCCGACCAGGCGGGCCCCCTGCCTCTTGAACTCTAGCAACATCTGCAGCTTGTCGATGTCCAGCCCAATCTCCGGCCGCCGGAGAACGTACGTCGGGTGGCCCTCCGCCAGGCTGGCCTTGACGAGCCTCCTCCCGATGTAGCCGGTCCCACCCACCACCAGAATCTTGCTTTTCGCCATCTTTTTGATTAGTTGCTTTTCCAAAATAAAAATAAAAATTGTGGCTTATTGTGAGAACTGAATTGTCAATATATTAGGGTTTATATAAAGTTCTTGTTTATGATTTAATTATATAATGTGTGTATTATAAATATATATAATTTATATATGGAGTAGGCGTCACTCAATTTCTTGAGTGCATTTTAATATGGGAAACTTTAGCCTTAGAGAGTTGGTGGTTAATGATATGGTTAGGTGAACAAAGTGTCTTGAAATTGCATATTTATGTCAAACTAAATCACCAAATCATGATTGAGCCATGAAGATGTTGATGCTTTATTATTATTATTATTATTATTATTATTATTATTATTATTATTATTATTATTATTATTATTATTATTATTATTATTATTAGAATATGATTCAAACTTGAGAGCCAACTTTTGAAAGAGACATAGTCGGTTGAATATTTTTTTAGAAGGC